AAAGCGTGAGCGGGAGGCAGGCTTGTGGTGTAAGCCTCTGAGAGGTATTCGTGCTGGCCCTTCCCACAAAGATAGGGACATGTCTTCATCAAGTTGCTTGTGGCCATCTTTCCCACTGCAGTTATGATAAACCACTGAAATTCCAGCAACAGCGTACCACGCAGACAGCATCTCCAGTGCTCTGGGTTCATCAGTAACATAAGGCTGCAACTGCTGAGCCACCAGGGCCACCCGGAGTACACCTGTGTGTATCATGAAGGTACTCCACCATGACAGTAATGTCAGGAGAAAGCTATCTGGTTTACTTCAGAATAAATAACTTTTCCCATGTGGAGCCTCTTTAGTCCATCTGAGTAATTGTTAAGAGAAAAGAGAACAAGTACTTATGCTGGGAATACCAAGCATTTGTGCTTGTCCTTATGTTTCCAGGCTTCAGGAGAATTAAATAATCATTTAGGTTGCAAAAGACGTTCAAGATCACTGAGCCCAATTGTGTGCTCCTGTATTTTTGTTACTTAGCAGTGGGCCAACATGGTCCTCTGGCATGCAAGTCATGGATTCCAGTGTGCACAGCTACTTACTGAAGCCATTCAGTACTCCATGCTGGCTTTTATTTTTTTTTGTCCTGTGATTCTCCAAACTGAACTCAGAGTTTGAGGTGGGGCCGCACCAGTGCAGTGTACTGATTTGAAGAAATCTATGTGTATAAACTTAACAGCAGCACTTTGTTACTGTTAAGCAAGGTACTCATTGTTGGCAGAGCTGGGATGGCATTGGGATAACTCTCCAAGAACGGTCACTGGCTGATTGTTCACGAACAGGTTATGTTTTCAAATGTATTAGATATTCATTATGTTCCCAAATTTGTTATCCTGTCCACTCCCAGCGATTTCCCAACAGACATGGCCTTGTTTGGCTATCTCTGATGTCATCTAGCTTTCTACCACCATAATGGTCCATTGTTGGTCTGCCACTGCCAGCCCTTTAGTGGGTATCAGGGGTATTTTACTTTCTCCCAACACTCCTTTTGTCCCAAAGATTGCTGTGGAACGCAAGGAAAACCAGGGAAGTCTCTGCACACACAGATAAAGAAGACGAAGGGGAATGTCTTGATGCTGGCTGTCACACTGTGGGCTACTTATAGAATCATAGAATCATAGAATCACTAAGGTTGGAAAAGACCTAAAAGATCACCCAGTCCAACCGTTCACCTATTCCCAATAGCTCCTACTAAACCATGTCCCTCAACGCAACATCCAGTCTTTCCTTGAACACCCCCAGGGTCGGTGATTCCACCACTTCCCTGGGCAGTCCATTCCAGTGCCTGACCACCCTTTCTGAAAAGTAATACTTCCTCATGTCCAGCCTGAATCTCCCCTGGCGTAGCTTGAAACCATTCCCCCTGGTCCTATCACTAATGACACGAGAGAAGAGGCCGACCCCCAGCTCACTACAACCTCCCTTCAGGAAGTTATAGAGAGCAATAAGGTCTCCCCTGAGCCTCCTCTTCTCCAGGCTGAACATTCCCAGCTCCTTCAGCCTCTCCTCATATGGCCTGTGTTCCAGACCCCTCACCAGCTTTGTTGCCCTTCTTTGAACACGTTCCAGGGCCTCAATATCTTTCTTGCAGTGAGGGGCCCAAAACTGGACACAGTACTTGAGGTGCGGCCTCACGAGTGCTGAATATGCTGAATATGAATATCCGATGTCATTTACCTGGACCTGAGCAAGGCCTTTGACATGGTCCCCCACCACATCCTCATCTCCAAATTGGAGGGAAGTGGATTTGATGGGTGGACGACCCGATGGATAAGCAATTGGTTGAAAGGCCGCAGACAGAGGGTGGTGGTCAATGGCTCTATGTCCAGGTGGAGGCCGGTAACAAGTGGTGTCCCCCAAGGGTCTGTCTTGGGACCGGTGCTCTTTAACATCTTTATTAATGACATCGATGAGGGAATTGAGTGCACCCTCAGCAAGTTTGCTGACGACACCAAGCTGAGTGGTGCGGTTGATACGGTGGAAGGAAGGGATGCCATTCAGAGGGACCTCGACAGGCTGGAGGGCTGGGCTCGGGTGAACCTGATGAGGTTCAACACGGCAAAGTGCAAGGTTTTGCATTTGGGCCGGAAGAACCCCAGGCACCTGTACAGGCTGGGAGGAGCGGTCCTTGAGAGCAGCTCGGCAGAGAAGGACCTGGGGGTCCTGATGGACGAGAGACTGAATATGAGCCAGCAGTGCGCTCTGGCAGCTCGAAAGGCAAATGGGATCCTGGGCTCCATCAGGAGAGGGGTGGCCAGCAGGGACAGGGAGGTGATTGTCCCTCTCTACTCGGCTCTTGTGAGGCCCCATCTGGAGTACTGTGTCCAGGTGTGGAGCCCTCAGTACAAGAAAGACATTGAGATTTTGGAAAGGGTCCAGAGGAGGGCGACTAAGATGATCAGGGGGCTGGAGCACCTCCCCTATGAGGACAGGCTGAGGGAGTTGGGCTTGTTCAGCCTGGAGAAGAGAAGGCTGCGGGGTGACCTCATTGCAGCCTATCAATACCTGAAGGGAACCTACACCCAGGAGGGGAGTAAACTCTTCAAAAGGGCTGATAACAGCAGGACTAGGGGAAATGGTTTTAAGTTGAAGGAGGGAAGATTTAGGTTGGATGTTAGGGGGAAGTTCTTTACTAGGAGAGTGGTTAGGCCCTGGAACGGGCTGCCCAGGGAGGTTGTGGATGCCCCGTCCTTGGACGTGTTTAAGGCCAGGTTGGACGGGGTCCTGGGCAACCTGATCTGAATGTGTATGTTTGGTGGCCCTGCTAGGCAGGGGGGTTGGAACTACATGATCCTTGGGGTCCCTTCCAACCCGGGTGATTCTGTGATTCTGTGATTCTGTGAATATAGGGGAACAATCACCTCTCTGCTCCTGCTTGCAACACTGTTTCTGATGCAAGCCAGGATGCCATTGGCCTTCTTGGCCACCTGGGCACACTGTCGGCTCATGTTCAGCCGAGCATCAATCAATACCCCCAGGTCCATTTCCTCTACGCAGTCTTCCAGCCACACCGCCCCAAGCCTGTAGCGTCGCCTGGGGTTGTTGTGGCCAAAGTGCAGGACCCGGCATTTGGCCTTGTTGAAACTCATCCCATTGGCTCCAGCCCAGCTCTCCAGCCTGTCCAGATCCCTCTGTAGGGCCTCGCTACCCCCAGGCAGATCCACACTTCCAGCCAATTTGGTGTCATCTGCGAATTTACTGAGGGTGCACTCGATGCCCTCATCCAGGTCATCAATAAAGATATTGAAGAGGACAGGCCCCAGCACCGACCCCTGCGGAACACCACTCACGACTGGTCGCCAGCTGGATTTGACTCCATTCACCACCACTCTCTGTGCCCGGCCCTCCAGCCAGCTCCTTACCCAGCCAAGAGTGTACCCATCCAAGCCTCGGGCTGCCAGCTTCTGCAGGAGAATGCTGTGGGAGACAGTGTCAAAGGCTTTGCTGAAGTCTAGGTAGACCACATCAACAGCCTTTCCTTCATCCACCAGATGGGTCACTAGATCATAGAAGGAGATCAGGTTGGTCAAACAGGACCTGCCCTTCATGAACCCATGCTGGCTAGGCCTGATCCCCCGGTCACCCTGCACATGCCGCATGATCTCCCTCAAGACGATCTGCTCCATAACCTTCCCTGGCACCGAGGTCAGGCTGACAGGCCTGTAGTTCCCCGGATCCTCCTTACGACCTTTCTTATAAATGGGAGTCATGTTGGCAAGCCTCCAGTCTTCTGGGACCTCACCAGTCAACAAGGAGCGCTGACAGATGATGGAAAGCGGCTCGGCTATCACCTCCGCCAGTTCCCTCAGCACTCTCAGGTGGATCTCATCTGGCCCCATCGACTTGTGACAGTCCAGCTGGAGCAGTAGGTCTCTGACTGTTTCTTTCAGAATCACAGGGGGGTTAGTGTGCTCCCCGGCCGAGATTACCAGGTCAGAGAGAGGGGTATCCTGAGGATAACTGGTCTGACTTTTAAAGACAGACGTAAAGAAGGCATTCAGAACCTCCGCCTTTTCCTTATCCTCAGTGGTCACATTCCCAGCCTCATCCAGCAAAGAGTGGATATTCTCCTTTGTCCTCCTCTTACTGTTAATGTATTTATAAAAGAGTTTCTTATTCCTTTTCACACCAGCAGCTAGGTTAAATTCAAGCTGGGCTTTTGCCTTTCTGATTTCACCTCTACACATCCTAACAACTTTCCTGTATTCATTTTGAGTGGCCTGTCCCTCTTTCCACAGGCGGTAGATTCTCTTTTTCTCCCGGAGCCTCAGGAATAGCTCCCTATTCATCCACGCCGGTCTTCTTCCCCGCCGGCTCATTTTGCAGCTCAGGGGGACTGCCTGCTCCTGCGCCCTTAAGACTTCCTTCTTGAAGAGCAACCAGCTCTCTTGGACCCCTTTGCTCGCTAGGACTGAATGCCAGGGGACTCCCCCTATTAGTCCCCTGAACAATTCAAAGTCCGCCCTCCTGAAGTCCAAAGTAGCAGTATTACTATTCCCCCTCCGAACTGACTTCCACCTGGCGTGTGGTTCCCATAAGGATTCCACCAAACTGTCGCACAGCTTTTCCACTGTTGTACGCTCACAACATGCCTCCCCATCTACAGGGTGCTTCCTCCGCCCTGCTGGCACTGCTGGGCCTGACGCACCCTAGGCTACGGCTAGCATTCCTGGCTGCCTGGTCGCACTGCTGACTGATGCTCAACGTGCTGTCCAACGAGATGCCAAGCCGCTTTCAGCGGAGCCGCTCTCCATTAGATTATATAGCAGCCTCGGGCTGCGGGGCGGGATTGGACCGTTGGTGCCCGCCTCTGCTGGGCGGTGCGCCGTTGGCTTTGGAGCAGCCGCGTTGCTAAGGGGACGGGAAGCGGCGGCGACAGCGGTTGCAGCGAGCTGACAGCTGAGATCCCGGCCCGAGCGTTTCTACCGCCCTGAGGCTCTCAGCACTATAAACCGGAGGTGAGTCCCAGAATTTAGCCTGTTCAATTGGGATGGTTTATCCGTGTTACAGAAGTTTTTGAATCTGTTGTTGGCATTTCTCCTCGGAAGTTTATTGCTTTGCAGTATGCCCTTCAATTCAAGCACTTAGAAGAAGGAGAGTCAGGTGAGCAGTAATACAGCAAATTAAAAAAGAATGAGGGCTCTGACAGAATTAGGTAGAGAAGATTCTGACAGACTGTCATCCGAAATCTGGGGAGAAAACTCTCTGACTCCAACATGGTGCTAGAAAGTGGTGTTCCTTTTTTCCTCATGGTACTGGGCGACTTGAGCAGCAAGCGTGCTCTTTCAGAGCTCAGGTTCTATATTTAAACAGTTAAGACATATGCACGCAGTACATAGGTCTACATATTCATCCTTTTGTCCAAGGACTCATTAATATCTATGCTAATGTCCCTTTGGGCATGCTCAATAGAACCTGGGCTGGTCGAGTGCCTATCTACTTCTTCCCCATTTTCCATCATCAGCACCATCACTGAGGGCTATGGCTAACTTTGAGTCACTTCTCCCCAGCTTGGAAAATTTTCCATTGCTTATTAGGCCATAACCACTTTTAAAACAACAAATGTGGAATCCAAGGAAGACGTTCTTGCAGCTACTGCGTGCAAAAAATGAAAGTATTCTATTATGGCTTCTTGTGAGGCAAAATCATTGAGGTGAAGGTTAAAAGTATTCTGTTATGTCCACAGTGCAAAATTACTGAGGAAAACAAGACTATGCACCCACTAAAATTGAAATGGAAAGTTTTAGAACTATAACTGACAGATTCCTTTTGCTAAACAAATATATTGGTTCTTAAACTAATGTACTATTGCTGAACAAACCAACCAATATCAAGACCAATTACTGTAGTGAAATAAAACACTGTAATGATTCTTCGCCCCTAATGCAAGGAAAATAATTTCTTACAGGCAATCTTTTTCCTAGGCACGTGTCAGCATGATGATTATGTACTAGCACCTGAGGAAGATACCTGCCTTAAGACAGTGTGGTACACTTACATAACTCTATTTGGAGTCATCTCAGTAAGTCTCCTGTGTTTCTTAGCGCAATTCCTTAGAGTGTCTTTTTCTTCCCTGTCTGCCATTGTTTTCCCCTCAAGGAGTTGTGCAGTTTCTTTTCTGTTTTTGTGTAATTGCTTATTTTTGTGCACAGGAAGCAGAGAAAAGAACATATTTGGAGATGGCTTGATTTTTATTTTATTTTTTAAAGGAGGGAGGAATGGAGGATCGGGTGGGGTTATTTTACAAACAGAGACCTAAAAATGGACAAGTCAGAAAGCTTTCTTTGCTATTGTTGATGGCTGAGAAGGAAGGGTAACAGAAGACTTAACTGCTTTCAGTTGTTGACTATGACTCTTGCTCTTGATGCCCTAGACCTGGTCTGCTGCATGAAGATGTGCAGTCCCCCGTTTTAATGGGACAGCTTGAATGATGTTTCATATATTACATCAAGGCCTTCTCTTTTTGAATGTGGAACTCCTGAAATGTCCCATGCTTTGTCCCCTGGAATATAGAATCCTTGTCTTCTATCTTTGTGAAGAAGTGCAGCATTTCACTTAATTTCAAGTTGGCTAGATTTGTTAGTTTCTTGACAAAGGGTCACTAACAGTTGAATTTCACCATCAATATTTTCCTTTCTGTTGCTTCAGAATGATATTACCAGATGCCTGTGGAGCAGCCAGAGAAATTGACGAACTCAGAAATCCCACATCCTCCTACATCCCAGATTCCAGGTCTTGGTGATCTTGCAAAAGCTCACAATGAAGGGATGCTTGGGTGCCGTAGGAGGTGGATCAAAGATACTGATTCAGCTTACATAAGGCTAGCAAAGCAAGGAGGCCGACCTGGTGTGTTACCTTTTTTTTACTTGTTTTAGCAGTATTTTCTTAGGTTTTTACTTGAGTATGGTGGTAGAAAAAGCTTATAGTCCTGTCGGAAGAGTCCTCCGGGTTTTTGGAATTAAACTATGGAAAAAAACTTCTAATTGAAAATGTCACCTAAGAGGTCAGCTTGTCATGACGTCTGCTGCATTTAGCTACCTGTTGGCAAAATTTGTACTTTTGGGTTATTTCCAATCTGCTTGGATGATGCCAACTGTTTATCTTCATCTGAGATAGGTCTTTACAGTCTGTGCTAGGGTTATGTAAGTGATAGTCTGGTAAAAATGATCTTGTAACCAGAAAAGCCTCATCAGCTTAGTAGATATCTGTGAAGTGCTTTTTTTTCTTTTTTCTTTTTTCTTTTTTCTTTTTTCTTTTTTCT